TCCATATTCTATGTAAAACATAAAACGAGCTAACACTTATTCTAATCTCATATATGAATCATATAAATTTTTTATGGTTGTAATTTACAGTAGGCTATTTATTAAAGAAAGTAAGTAAGTAATAATAATAATAATAATAATAAAAACTGCTTAATAATATTAATAATTATTACCATCATCAGTATTATTATGTTATTATTATTATTAAGTAGGATATTGTTTATTTATTTTTTATTTTTTGAAAAGTCAATTTTTACAACTGTGACAAATTAAAACCACTGCAGAAATGTTCTAACCACTAGGCCCATGTCATATACGGTAAGCCTAGGCTACAGACACATTTCTTAATAAATGACCTACTCTAAATTAAAAAGCATTAACGTATGCTATATATTTTTGTTTTCACAAGCTTTGGAGACGTAACATGAATCCTGCTTTAAATAATAAATCCCTGCTGTCATCATGAGCCACAGCTGTGTTCAAAATGTCATTAATGTTTTCAAAGTGCACTACAAAGGTTGCTAAAGCTAAACTGTAAAAATACTTTGAAAGCAAATTACACCTAAGAGATGACCTTAATGTTTTTTTTTTTATCATTCTGAGTTTCAATGCTGGAATGTTCTAAATGAATAGGTCATAATGCGGATGATTGAGAATAGTACACAGCCAGGAACTATATAACAGCTCTAGAGGTGTAGTTACAAGTGTACAAGTTTGCGACACCGTTTGAGAATGTTCGTTGGAACAATGGATTTGGAAAACACTAAACAAACTATGTTTGTAATGACGGAACTTGCGACCTTAGTTGGCTAATGATGTCTTTCGGAGACACCCTTAGTTGAAAGTGAGCTAGCTCAAAGTTCCTTTTTACACTTGTATGTCATCTACTAGTGATCAGATCAACTAGAAAATAACTTAGTAACAGTTGAAAACAGGGTTGAAGTGATTGGAAGTGGAGAAGCTCAAAATGTTGTAGACCCCGTTAACACCTGTATTTAGTGCCATCCACATGTGACTGAATTGGCAAAAAACATATCTGCATACCAGTCTTTGTTCATTCCCTTGAAGCTTTAAAGGTTTAGTTAACGTTGAAACAGAAATTCTGTCATAATTTACTCAACCTCAAGTAATTCCAAACCCTTTTGCTCTTTAAATGACCAATTGTTTAACTAAATCTGAAAGATTTGTGTCCCTCCATTGAGCATCTATTCACCCAAAGTTCTAGACACCTCATAAAAAGAAATATGTTACAAAAATAAACAGATTTGTCATTGCTTTAGAACAAATGCTGACAGAATTTTCATTCTAATGTGATCTAAACTTTAATGGAAGTTCTTTATATATTTTAAAATAAATCTGAAGGTGCTGACTTGTCCACCTTGCAAATCTTGTGGAAACTGGTTGTAACTCTCTTTAAGAGGCACCTCGATTCCCCTGAAGCTCTAAAGTTAGCTTCTGTTCATCCATCTGTGGCTTATACCGCTATTTGGCACAGGAAATTAAACAACCCAATGGACCCGCCAAAGTTGATATTGATCCTTAATAGAACCGTGTTGAATCAACAGCTTTTGGGGGACTTGGTGACCGGAGCGTTTGTTCTTTTTGGTAACATTAGAATCCTACGGATCAGTTTTTGGCTCAGCTGGTTCACCCTGCGCTGCTTTGACATACTGATGATACAGTGTGTATTTATAAAGCATTCCAGAAAAGACAATGGAAAAGCAACAAATCATGTCTTCTCGCGGTGTTTTGGGAAGATCTGAGGGATTGCCTTCTGCCGTAACAATATCTGTACAAATCTGTCTGTCTTTTGGCTGTCTCCGGGCTCCTAATTCACAACAATAACAATCAGACATCCAACAAGCGAGAGGCTTGTGTGCTAGTTAAATTGTTTGTTTTGTCTCCTGTCACCAGAAAAGGAGAGGGAAAAAAGATATTACATCCAGGCTAAAATATGAGCTCCTCTCATTCCAGTTTGTTTAAGAAAACAAGGGGTTACTTTGTTACTGCTTAATGTGAGGCAAGTCTTTTTGTGAAGAGATGCAGCGTGTTAGTTTAACAGATAAGTGATCCAGGTCTCAGTGCCAAACCTAAACAAATTCCATTTCAGACAGCTCACCTCTACAACTTGTCTCTATCTCTGTTTTTATCTCCACCGCAGTCACTTGAAGTTTAGGGAAGGGCTCAAGGAGATTCAGTTCATATTTGTGGTTACTGGGATTTATAAGCGAAAACATCATCAGCTTTTCAGCATTGTTGGCCATAAAGGAACAATTATGCTAATATTTACTTTTATTTAGTTTGGCCTTCCGGTGAATTGTTGGTACTGTTTGAAGATGTTATTTAATTAGACATGTTTTAAAGAAGTTTTCCAATTTAAGCAAACTTTTTTTTCTTTTAATGCACAAACTTTTAAACTGTGATAAAAATATCTCTCAAATTTTTGCCAAAAAATAGCAGCTGTGCTTGCCAGTGTTTAATGGTTAATAATGCAATAGAAACAGTAAAAATATTTTACACTTTTTAAAATACTTTATTGTTAAGGTTCTTTTTTATATACATTTGCACAAGACAGAAAAAGACAAACAGTCAACAACAACAAAACAAAATATATAAACAAATATCCCTACACTACTTCCCCTTTTGTGGCTTTAACAGAAAATATACATAGCTAACAGTCTGTAAACATAAAGTCCTCGAGCGTCACACAAATGCACAGCAAATGTACATATAGAGTGCACACACAAAAATATTTTATATTTTACAGTAAACTACCATACATTCATTTGTACAATGTAAAGTTTGTTATAAACTAATTCGAGAGGATCACGATTGCTTGAGGCTGGTCCCGCATTATTCAATTTATGATTCACAAATCAGACAATTCCAAAGCCACTATGAATTCCCTAAGTTCCATATAACAGCCATCTTTGTTTTGAAGAATCAATTTCTCGGTGGAGTTTGCATGTTTGCATGCATCTGCTGTGTAAAACATATATGCCATACAAATTCATTCCACTGTGGTGACCCCTGATGATCAGGGATTAAGCCAAAAGAAAATTAATGAACGAATTATTTAGTTAAATTTAAAACACTAATGCTTTTAAGTTCTAACACATTGTATCTTTGTTACACAGACAAAAACACAACCAAAAACATGTGGTGATAAGAAAGTCATATGATAAACTAATGCTTATCACAAACAGCTAACCCACAAGCAGACACACATATATAGAATGAGTGCAGTGTCCTTCACACAACTTATAAACACCATCATGGTAACAGACATGACACTGACGTAAAGGAACAAACGGTATTTATCAAAATTAGATGCAACATAAAACTCTGAAGTACATTTAACTAATAGGAAAAAAAACTAAACTAAAGAGCAATGTTAATGTCAACAACAACAATAACACATTATAAGTGAAGTGTCATGCTGGTGAAGTCAATTTATGGGAAAAGTCAATTTACGGTTATTCATCATATATAATTTTTCAACTACTGTTGCACTTTACTATTGAAAATCAAAGCCGTTTTTATAGGGCTGCTACACTCTCAGAAATAAAGGTACAGGAGCTGTCACTGGGGCAGTACCTTTTCAAAAGGTACATATTTGTACCGGAAGGGTTTATAATGGTACCTTAAAGGTACTTTTTAGGTAAATTTAGGCACTAAAATGCACCATTGAGACACCACTGAAATATGTATCATTTGAAAAGGTACTGCCACTGTGACAGCTAATGTACCTTTATTTCTGAAAGTCTAATAGGCAGTAATTTATGTTTTTATAAATTTGTTAATCATTTTTGGTTTATATTCTTTCATTTCATTAAATAAATAAATGCATGTCATGTTTAGGAATTATGAAATGTAAACTTGAATAGTTTAAACGATATTGTAAGTTTCACAGTACAATCTGAAAATCCTTGGTTGTTTCAGCCTAAATATGGAGATCCAAACGAGTGTATATAATTGTTGTAAAGTAAATATATGTTTCAAATTATTACTTTACTATATATCAGAGGTAATAAAAATACTTTCATCCCTGCTAACAGTGTTTCTTTCTACTAGAGAACCGTTTCTACATTAACTTTTGAATGCTGCTATTGAGAAAGTGTAGCTCATATTGTAGAAACCTCCAGAATGGAGGAGATGTCATCGGCTTGGCTGATGTCTGCTGAAGTCATTCCAGTGTGGGATTTAGAGAGTTCAAACTGTTGCCAAATAGAATGAGTTATATCAGAGATTGCATATTTGATAACCTCCTCAGCTAGCTAAACGTCAGGCTCAGAGAGCTTAGCGAAAAGAAGCAGCCAGTAATATGTCCATTGAAAGCCACCGTATGTGTTCAAACAGATGCAAGCCACAGTATAAAGTCTCAGACCTCTTATTTTTAGATGCATAGTAATGATGCACTCATGGAAACTTGTCGGGAGAGATCACTTTAGAAAGCCTGGTGATTTTTTAAAAAATTGACATAGTACCTGAGAGAAACACTGAGAAGGAGTAATGGCGTAAAGGGTAAAGTCCTCAAGAGAAAGTCTGACAGTATGTGTTTGGCATGAGTGAGTGCTGCGTGCCACACAAAAGATCCATTCCTTTACTCCAGTGGTGTAACCTGCCCTGATTTCTGGCACTGTTTACTAGCATCTTTAGGTGCAATTTTCCTTTGAGTATTTGTAAGCAGAAATTATGAGTCACTGGATTTTGTTGCGCAGCTGTGATGCTCTGCGCTCAATGCCAACTAGGAAATGATTTTGTGCTTAAATATATGGTAAATAACACACAGTTAGTACTTCTTCTAGTGACTCATCAAATATAAAAAGGGAGTAGCACAGCTTTTTATGCTTCTGCTCTGGCATGCATGTTAACCAAACCTCATATGATAAGGATTTATTATTGTGCAACATACCCATGTACGTAATATTCTTATATAGAAATATGCAATACAACAGGATGTGATGTAACTGGATCTTTATGTGTGTTTTGTTTAGCAGGTTGGTGAGAATCAGAGAGTGGACCCTCTTGGGTCATGGATGGACTTTGTGAAGAGACCTGTGGGCAACTTTCCTGGAAAATGCCGAAAACGGAAACGACCACTGGTGCGGTAATCTTGATAATTACATAATATAAAATGTCAAAAACATAATCAACAGTAACACATAAGACTAAGCTGAAATTGTGGAAAGGAGAGGTTGTCTATTCACCCAGAATGTACAGTACAATTCTTGTGAAAAAAGGAACCCGTGGAATACCTTAACAAGTTAAGCATATTTTAATTTTGCAGTCTGCTTTTTTCATAGAAAGTGTTACAAAAAAGTGTTACTTAGAGGATGTGTATACTTATTTTCTACCGACTAATCTACCAACATTATAGCAAAAACATCAACAAAATTAGAGTTTCCATCAAATATATCTAAATTTTTCTGAAGTTTCTCATGTAGTAAACGTGATCAGTAGCTCATCTGGTATAGTGTTGTATTATAAGCCTCAATGAAAACAGGGTAGAAAAGTTAACACTGTTGGTTAAATTTAATGTACAGTAAGGATAATCAATAAAGCAATAGCCTTTTAACATCACTCATTTGATTTGTAGTGTAATAAATCATTGCTACAGTCACATCTATTTTATTCTGACATTTTTGATGGCAAAAAAGACATTCTCTTTGAATACAGCCTCAGAATGTACAAGAAGAAATATGATTTTAGCAAAATAGTTTTTTTTTTTTATCAGTTTGGTACTCAAGTACACTTGCTGGCCAGCTCTTCCTTTACAAAATTACTTAATATATTTTAAATAATATATTTTATTATGCTCAGTACATATTACACTCCAGAAACGCTGAGAGAGTCAGACTGAACTTTTAATGAATAATTTATTTCTACCTGGAAATTTGTAAAGTATTGCAAAATACATTCCTTAAGTTTCAAGTTGTAACAGGTCATTGCACGAAGTTAGATGCTCATTTTAGATGCTCATTCAGACATCTTTGTGTGTCAATGAGTTTAATTTTGAAATTATATAAAAAAATTTATTTCCTTTATTTCACTTAGCCTGGTCCCCCAGGCCCTCCAGGTCCTCCAGGGCCTCAGGGACCCCCAGGAGCCCCCGGGGCAGAGGTCACTCAGGAGGTCCTGCTGCGAGAGTTCAAAGAAATGATCAAAGGTGAGAACCCACAGCACATGCAAAACCCAGCATTTGTGATGGACATTGTCTATTCCTCAATGAAGATTAACTGGACATCACTTTCCTTTGCTTGAACAGAGGCCACGGAGAGGAGAGCAGCAGTGGACCGGCCCAGTGAACCTAGTCAGCTGCCCACGGCTCTGATTACACTGGAGGGCATGACCTCCTACAGGAGAATCGAGGAAGCGTTCCATTGCAAACTCAAAGGCCCTGTGGTCGTGGACAAAAAGACTCTGGCAGAGCTGCAGAACTTTCAGACAGTGAGTGCTATAGAAATGTATCTGTCTGTCCCATTTTGTCTTGTAACAAGTGCCATAAATATGAATGACTTTATGTATTACACAGCACTTCTACATACAGTAAGCAATAACATATTTAACTTATGTATTGTTTCTGAAATATTTAATTAAATACTGGTGTATGCTTTTTATATTGATATTTTTAATCAACTGAGGTGATTTTTATCACCTCAATTGAAAAATTGACTGAAATTAGAATCTGTTTGATTCAGTTATTATAACTGGCTCAGTCATTATGTTGGATGTGCTGGATTCCCTTGAAAAAAACAATTCAAAAGAGTTCATCTGGAAATAGATCAGGAATCAGACTACACTGGTCATGCTGTTTGCTTCTTACTATAGATTCAGAAGTAATGTCAAGATTACTTAAGTAATCAAGGAAAAGCTTTATAATACTTTAGTAGTATTGTATCTTCATGCACATTCAAGAACTGTTAATGAAGCTAAAAGTCATTCTGAACATTTTCAAAGTCATTTGGTTCTTTAAAAAAAAAATTAAAAAAAATTATGGATTATTTACAAACAACAAAGGGGAAAATATCTTTATTATGAGTAGCTTTTTCCAGTATTTACTTTCTTCTTGATTTCCTCAGTCCTCAGATTTCCTCTTGATTTCAACATTTTATACAATCATTATTTATTTTATTAAGCTATTGTTTTGAAAAAGGCGTTGTGTTTATAACTAAGGCTTTTTGTCTCACTACAAATGATAAAAATCTGTCAAAATTAGTCTCATATCTACATCAAATCAACCCTCCCCCTCAACTCTCAAAAAAGTACCACTTTGTTGCATGTTGAGCACAGTATTGTTGACAGCAAACTACAAAAAGAGATTAAAACATTGCCAACTGGGGAGCAGCAAATTCCCATAAATGCCAAAAAATGAGCATTTCAGCATTTTAGAGACAGTCATTTATAATAAATGCTACAAAGTTCACATGTGACAGTCTCTTCGTCGCAGTAGATTCAACTTTTGCCAAACTAAAAAAAAAAAAAAAATCCACTATGTTAAAAATAACATCAAATTGGCTTATTTTGTTTGCTTTCCATTTGGCTTCTTCACAGTGAGTTTTACAGAATACTAAACACCATTTCCAAACACTCCCAGCTTGTGTGTGTCATTAAATAAAATGACAAAAACTAAGGCCATTGGTCATAAAACAGTACTACATCCAATTGCCTTTAAAGATGTTTTGACTCTTCTAAATCATAAAAATACAATAATATGTTATTTAAGATGTTATTTATATAAGATATTTAAGAAATATGTTAAGAGAACATGCTTGTTTATATGATAAACAATGCCAGTTATTCTCCTTAAAAAAGTATCATTTCGTCTGTTTTTGTTTTGGTCTCTATAACCTGCCCACTGCAAGTTTACCCAATTATAATTTGGCACCCCAGGTTGCCTTGACAAAAAACACACTGTATTTAATATCCGTTACCAAGGCTGTCTCAGTATATGCTGGTGTGGCTGAAAATGCAACCTCTGGAGGACAGCAGCAGCCTTTGAAATCAGATGCAGATTAAGAGTTCTAAAAATACAATTCAAAATTTAAAAAAAAAACAATTCAAATATTACAAAGGTAAACATTAGCTGATCAGCTTAAAGTGTAAGGCTTGATCTTCAGGCAGAAAATTGGAGATGGAAGATGGGTGTCATCAATGGCAAACTCCATGTGCATTGAGTCAAGGGCTGGGTGAAAAAAAGTCTCTCTCTTTGAAATACATACTGCACCTTTAAATACACAACTAAATTAAGGCCACCTGTGATAGTCCTGATTAGTGGTGTAACAGATCACAAATCTCACGGTTTAGATCACACTACGTTTTTTTGTGTCACAGATCGGACTTTTTCAGATTTCAAATTTATTTTCAAATAATAATTAAACAATTCACTCATAAAACTTTGTTTTATTAAAGGTGGATCTTTTTTGAAAACCTATTCAGTGACATAATTTTAATGGTTACACAGTGTAATTGCTACAACATTCACCAGCGTCAAATTCCACAGTGATTAAACAATGATTTTAATCTTTACCATACACATCAGTGTTTATAGCTGAACTATAAACTGTTCTCCCAGTACTTCTGTGTTATTTGTTTGTAACAAACTAAAAAAAGTGTAAAAACTGAATCTCTCTTGATCAAATGCAGATTTGAATGCAGCGCTTTGAAGGATTAATAAACATGCAATTCAACATCATTTATCATTCATGTTGCGCGGGTTTGAAGTGAGATCACAATGTTTTAAAGTTTAATTGTGCAGCTTTACACTGAATACAGGCTAAACAAACAGTGACAGAAAACGCCTTTAATTAATAACCCAAGAAAGCATTTAGGTCCCACCACATCTTTTTCAGTCACCATTATATTTTACAGTGAGGCCAAAATGCTTTCATACAGATGATTTGAATGAGGTGGGAGGCGTATCTGCAGTTGTTATAAATGTTGGATTAAACTTCAAGCTTAGAAAATGTATTAATCTGCGAGTCACGTACATTCCGACCTGCGGGTTGTGATCCCTACGGATCACGGATCAACCGTGATTTGTTACACCTCTAGTCCTGATTAGCTCCTGTCATAGGAACACTGGCGACGAGACACTGGATTGGCCGAACAAAACTCAACCAATCAAGCAAGGCCTCAACCAACCTCCTCCCGAAAAATTATCCTTATTCAAAATGTGCTTCATTGCTTTCTTGGTGGTGTACAAAAGGTACTCTGTCTGAGGCTTTGGACCAGTGAGTGGTGTGTATAAAAATAGACACCATTTAAAAACAGCAGACTGTTTCAAGGAAGAACTTTACCCAGTGGCATTCTGATCATCCAGATACAAACATCGAAAATCCATGCTACGGAAAAAATTTGCATTGGTTAATGTGGACAAGATTCACTCTAGGCCCCAATGAGCATTAAAATCTGCTGATCGCTGAAGATGGATAACTCTTACTTTCCGTATTACAGAAATTATGATCACAGAGTCTTTCAGATCTGTCAAATAAAAAAAAACAGCTGTTGTAAATGTCAGTGCAACGTTTTATTCAACGCAGAAATACACGTCAAATAGAGTTAAGGTTATCCTGCATATCTGTTAGGATCTGACATGTATATGAAAGGCATTCATTGTACAGTATGTACTCAAAGCTGACGGCACGAAAAATGGCAGAAGCGAACAGTGTTTAGCACACTAATCGGAGGACTCATTATAAAAGCGTCTGAGTCTGGAAGTCTTGGTGGGTTCTGGAGGCGTAATGCAGAATAATGTGGTCTGGCATGGCTGCAGCGTGCAGTTATGATCAAAAACAGAATCGGAGGATTCTTGGCAGATGCCTACATATTTCTAGCCATTTAATGGTTATGTGCTCCAAAACTGAGCCCTAAAACTGTTATATTTTCTAACGCTGTTTGCGGGATGCTTCGATTTGCATGTGAGTTTATTAGAGTGTGGAGAGCAGGAATTCGGCTGAACAACATATTCTTGAGACACTTAGTCTGCAGTTTATGGAGTATGCTGTTATATGTATGGACAGAATGTGTGGTGTTGATGTGTGATCAACAGTTATAAGGTATGTTTATTGTAAGCCTTCTGTAATTCTCATGTGTTTCATACCCTCAGCCTCCTGCCAAAGGTGCCTTCCTCAGAGGGACGGGGATGGATCAGTCCACTGGCCGATTTACAGCTCCTGTAACTGGAATTTATCAGTTCTCTGCCAATGTTCATATTGGTAAGGAAAGGTTGAGCGTTTTGCTTCACCAGTAACAAACATTCTGGCTTTCATAATCTTTTATAATCATCATAATCTTTTAGTGTCCTGCGGTTTTTAAAGAATTATTATCATGCATTATTTGTTTTTAGAACTTAAACTGTAAAACCATGAATTAATTAGATGCTGTAAATATTTGTTTATTGAATGTCTTGTGGTTGCATTTATTTGATATAAAATACATTAAATATTAGTTGTTTTTGTTTTAAAATATAATTGAATCCTGTATCATGTCTAACTGAATCTTTTATGCCCATTAAGGTTGTTGAGAAATGTATTTTGTTATGTAGATTTCCTTTCTTTTTTTTGTATTTAAAATATTATATAATCCTATTAAAATGGGACTTTGTGAATTACAAAATGTAGATATTTTCTGTATTATTATGTTTTAAAATATAATTTAGTCCTATAAAAAGTCATTTAATCATTTAATCTCCAGTACTCGACAAGATTTATTTGAATAAATATACAGTAAAACAGTAACATTGTGAAATATTATAAAAACTATGATATACTTTGAACTATATTCATGTATTTTACAATATAATTTAATCCTGTAAATTTAATGTAATATATGCTCTGTTAGACTGCATTTGTTTGATTAAACTCAGTAAATGTGATTTTGAAATTATTATTAAAAATAGTTAAACATATAATTTAATAATAATCTCTGTTCTCCTAAAGGCCACATTTAAACAGAAATACAGTAAAACAGAAATTTTGGGAAAGATTACAAGTCACATTTTTTATAAATGTAAATTTTTAACACATTTTAAAATTTAGCTTAATCCTAAAATGTACTTTAATGTTTTATGCTCACATACAGTTGAAGTCAAAATTATTAACCCCCTATATATTTTATTACAATTTCTGTTGAATGAAAATTTGTCAACACATTTCTAAACATAATAGTTTTAATAACTCATTTCTAATAACTGATTTATTTTTTCTCTGCTATGATGATAGTACATAATATTTTACTAGATATTTTTCAAGACACTTCTATACAGCTTAAAGTGACATTTAAAGGCTTAACTAGGTTAACTAGGTTAGTTAGAATAATTAATCATTGTTTAACGATGGTTTGTTCTGTAGACTATCGAAAAACAATATTGCTTAAGGGGCTAATAATATTGATCTTTAATAAATTAAAAAATATTTTTTTTCTAGCCAAAATAAAACAAATGAGACTTTCTTTAAAAAAATATTATAGGAAATACTGTGAAATTTTTCTTGCTCTGTTTATGATAGAAATAAAGAAATAAAATAAAGAAATAAAAATTCACAGGAGGGCTAATGATTGTGACTTCAACTGTACATGTGTGCATTTATTTGACAAAAAAAAAAAAAAACACAATACAAAAAGTAAGATGGTTCAAATATTATACATATATTGTTAAACATTATTATGATTTTCTTTTTTCCCCATTTAAATTAAGTTTCACAAACTACTTTTGAAAGGAGCATGTGATATGACTGATTGCGGCTGGTCTCTCAACTGTAAACATAATTAAACCAATCAGATTATTTCAAACTCCCTATAAATTTTTCAGTCTAGCCTTACTTCCTTATCTTCATTTTTTTGAAGAATACCCCATCCACCCCATTTCTTCCTTTACTATAGGGAGTTCTTAAGAAGTACCTGATCTTGTACCCTTAAATGCTCATTTACCAGGAGGGAGCCCTGGGCTCAATTATCTCCAAGCTCAGGGTTCTCTCCTGGGACAGCATGCCAAATCTGTTATTAATATCAAGCAATGTCTAAGTGAAATAGTTTTCAGCAGCCATTACTCCAGTATTCAGTGTCACACAATCAGTTTTGTGGAAGAGTAGAATAAAAATTCAAATCTATTCTGAATTAAACGATAATGATTATTATTTTTAATTTATTAATAATATTATTATTATTTAATATTATTATTATTATTATTATTATTATTGTTATAATAATAATAATAATAATTATTATTATTATTATTATTATTATCAATATTATAAAGATTATTATTTTAAATTCTTACAGACTCTAATCCTCTGAACAATATGATGGATATGGAATTTTTTTTAAAGTATACTCTGAAATTGCTTGGGATAAAATTCTCCACCAAATGCAGAGAGAAGATTAATGGAAAATTCAGTTTCTCTGCTATAAACACAAAAGCACAAAGTATGATTTAATCTCTCAATGTCATCTCTATTCGAAGGTGCCATCGTGTAATGTATTGGATGTGTTTCATACTTGGCACTTTCTCAACAGATGGATTGCATTCCCCTGTAACTTACATTCCAACCGCGCTGCATTTGTTTGCAAAGATTGAGGGTGTCTTGCACAATCTTGCATGTTTAAAAAGCTAAAGACAAAAAAAAAAACTGTGATGTTCCTGAAAACGCCCAAGCGTATTTAGTTTTTTTGCTGGTTGATACTTTAAAAAGGGGGTCTGGACGATCCTGTTGACTTCATTCATCGCTGCTTATGTGGAGTTGCAGTGAAATAACCCCCGGGGACTGTGAATGCAAAACTGTGGCGCCGCCATGCAGGAATTGGCTCTCTGCAGTAGACTGTGGCAGAAAATCAACATCCCCAAACAAATTCACAAATCCACTGCAGACTTTTAGAAGCGACCAATGTTTAGACGCGACTGGAGGTCAAACATGACTGGCTCAGGCATCATGTGGTCCAGATACACAGCTCTGTCAAACAATATTCCAGCAGCATTTACTCTTCATACAACAGTTTGCAACGTATGTCTGTGGCCTATTCTTAGGAAAGATGTTTATTTCTTTGTGTGTATTTTCCTGCAGACCACACTGAGGTGAAGAGAAGTAAGAGCCAGCTGAGAGCCAGAGACAACGTCCGAGTTTTGATCTGCATCGAATCGCTCTGTCACAGATATACGTGAGTACTGTTACACCATCAGCTTCCTTTAGTGTGTATTGCTGTGTTTGTGCATGATAGAGATCTGCAAAGTTACAATGTCTATATACCAAAGCTAGCTATTCTCAGTGTTTCTGAACTCCCTCAGACGACTCGATTGTGGATGTAATTTTTAATCCAGGAATATATATACATTATCATGATATCTTGAATTTAAACTGGTCGTACAGACTTCAAACAAAGTTCTGTCCTGTTCTTTGAGAGCAAAAAAAGGTTAGAAAAGGCTGAGTGACGGTATTTTGTTTTCAAACAGTCCCAACAACCCTCAATGCAGTAGGTGGGGTTGTTTCATTCATTCATTCATTCATTATCCTTTATTTATCAGGGGTGGCCACAGCAGAATGAATCACTAATTAGTCTATGCCCTTCCAGCCGCAACCCAGCACAGGGAAACACCCATATACTCTTGCATTCTCACACACACATACGCTCGTACTAAAGCCAATTTTTTTTAGTTTGGGACTCGAACCCATGACTTTCTTGCTGTGAGTCGATGTTGCTAACCACTGATCCACCGTGCCGCCCCATATGTACTTTTATTTAGCTGAAATATTACTTATTTGTTATTTAATTTGGTTGTGAGCATCATAAATGCATGGTAAATGGAACAGCAGTACACCGGAAGAACAGATATAGATTCATTCATTCATTCATTTTTTTTCGGCTTAGTCCCTTTATTAATCTGGGGTCGCCACAGCGGAATGAACCAGCGAAAGGGGGTTAGTATAACTGAAAAAATAGTTGCAAACTGATTAGCTTATTAAAATCAACATTAAATATTTGTTAAATACTTGACTTCCTGTTATTAAAGTTCTTACAGTACAATCGTCACAGCCCAGTGGTAGCTTAAAAGTGTTCAGGAGCCAAAACAAACTCCATTTTAACTGCTAAAACAAACTCAAAAGAACTTATTTTCAGGTGGATTTTCTTTCTTCAATTTTGTTTGAAGTACACTGGGGCCTTTAATTGTGTAAGGGGAAAACATGCAAACTTTACACAGAAATGCCAGCAAGAACCCGAACCAGCGACCTTCTTGCTGTAAGTACTAACCACTGAGTACCGTGTCGGCCTCATAATTTGTCTTACATTATTTTAACTATAGTAATACAGCTATATCTGTTTTTCATACAATCACAATAAATGGGTGACTATGGAAATTTTGAAAGCTTAAAAAAATTTCAAAACTACTATAAACTATTACACTACAAGTCATACAAAAGATTTGTGTGACTAATAAACTAAAATGTTGTCATTATTTACTAAAAGGCTTGGGGTTTGAAGTGATACAGCCAATTCGTGAATATATCATTCAAACTGTTTCCAAATAATGATGCAGAATTGTAGTTTCTGTCAGTTCTGTGAGCAAAAGCATGCAGGAGAAAATCTGACACCAGCAATTTCGCTAGGCAAGTTGTTTTGATTACATTATGTGTAATTTACCTTCAAGTAGTCTTATTTATTAGCATTCGATTTTGTCCACAGACCGCATCCACATCAATATAAATTCATGACTCAGACGCAAAGAAATACATCGCTTGTGATGAAAATGAGTATTTTTCTTGAGCTCCTTCTTACATTCAGAGCATGTGGTTTTTATTTCGATGGCTTAAGCGTGTGAGTGCATGTCATAAAATCCTCTTTCACAAATCAAACCAAAAATGAATTTGTGTTAAAAAAAAAAAATTAAAAAGCTGCGAGGGGGCGTCAAATCTGTCTTGCAGTGTTTTCTGTTGTGGTTGTTAGCGCTCTTTGTGAAACGCATGGGCTGTAAAGCATGTTGTCTGTTGTAGCTTGTGCGGAACCAGCAAGGCATTTCCTGTGTTAAAGTGGAGCAGGCTTTTAAAAAATGTCCTCTCACCTTCAGTCTGGTCTCTGTCACCCTGCTAACCTTTACGGCCACCTTTGACTCGCAGACTCCCCGTTGGTATTAGCGGCAGGGTCATTCCGAAAATTTATTGCTGGAAAAAATCTGATAGAGATCTGAAAGTCAAATTGGGATTCTTTCTTTCAAAATTTAAAAATGCATTTCTTTATATATTGTTTTGTGTTAATGCACTGTAAAAAGTGAATAGTTGAGTCAGGCTCGGCGCCTGAGGGGGCATTTTATTCCTAGACCTGCTGATTTTGGTCCCTCTTGTTCCTTTCGTATTTATTCACTTATTTCTTACTTTATATTACTGCCTAAGTTACTGACTTAAGGCAGTAATATACTTTTTATAGTAATAATTATAATAATAATATGTACAGTTTCACTATTATTGATTTTTTTCATTCATTCATTCATTCATTCATTCATTCATATTCTTGTCGGCTTGGTTCCTTTGTTAATCCATGGTCCCCACAGCGGAATAAACCGCTGACATATCCAGCAATGTTACCCAATTCACCTGTACCACATGTCTTTGGACTGTGGGGAAAACCGGAGCACCCGGAGGCAACCCACACGAAGGCAGGTAGAACATGCAAACTCCACTCAGAAACGCCAACTGAGCCGAGGTTCGAACCAGCGACCCAGCAACCTTCTTGCTGTAAGGTGACAGCACTAATTACGGTGCCAATGCCTCGAGTATATAATAAATATATTATATAGTGCTAAATTACATTTAATAATTAAAAGGACAAATTCTGGACCTTGTGGTTGTGGGGGGTTCGTAAAGGCATGTTCGTAAAGGCATGTAAAGTCAATTCAATTCAAGTTTATTTCTAATGCGCTTATACAATGTAAATTGTCAAAGCAGCTTAACATAGAAGTTCTAGCAAATTGAAAATGTGTCAGTTCAGTTTCAGAGTTGAAGCTCAGTTTAGTTCAGTTCAGTGTGGTTTAAATTTCACTGCTGAAAGTCCAAACACTAAAGAGCAAATCCATCGATGGGCAGCTCCACAAGGCCCAAACCAAGCAAGCCAGTGGCGACAGTGGTGAGGAACAAACCTTACTAAAGTCACTGAATGAGGCATAATACTGTGCCATGACACTAACAAAAATCATATGCGTGTAAAAAAGTAATTCTAATAGAGATGTTAATAGTAAAACTGGGATTTTTTTATTTAGGATTTTATTTTTAATTATGAATAAATAAATACATTTAAAACAACCAAAAAAAACTGCACTCAGAAGCTCTTTGTAAATTTGACAATTACAATTAACAAGAAACCAAAATTCATATATTTAATCATATATACTCAATCTAAACCATTTTATCATGTATTAAAGTTGACGCTTTTAAACAATTGCTATGATAATCCATTTTAAAACTTATATATATATATATATATATATATATATATATATATATATATATATATATATATATATATATATATATATATATATATATTGTATGTTACTGTGTAAACAAACTAATACAGACCTTTTATTGTTTTTTTTGTGCTGATTTTATTGATTTGTAAAGTTTACAAACTAATAATTAGTTCAATTTTTTCTGTTGTTTAGATCCTTGGAAATGATTGTTGGCCTTGAGAGTAACAGCAAGATATTCACAGTATCTGTTCATGGACTGCTGGAACTTCAGGTAAGGAATAGTTCAACATACTCCACTCAGTTTAATACAGTTTTAATTACAGTGTAATTAATGTACTAATTGGTTATATCCTCATCATATAGTGGTATCCTTTAAAATGTTTCACCTTTGTAACTTATTTAGCCCTAAAGAAAGCATAATGGTGCCTTAAGGGTAAATACTTACATCTCAAGTGTATAATAATAACTGAAGCAAACTGTAAGTTGTTGCCTCTATGAAAGCCTTTGTACCTTTTTTTCTGAGTGTTTCCTAATATGTTGTTTTGACAGTTGTTTACTTATTTCTAGCACCGAAAAGAACCGAAGTAGTTAAGAATAAAAGAGGGTTTCTTAATACACATTAACATGTCTTCATTGAAGTGATTTATAAGTACATATTATTCCGAAGAATAAATAGATAATAAAAAACTGTTCTCTTATTCCATGCCAGAATTGTTATAGTTGGCTAAAAACCAAAGGCTAAAACTAAAATCCATAAAACAAATTGCTTGAAATAAACAAATCAAAATATTTACTGTTACCAGTATTTAAAAATAATTGCCATTAACTGAAACATGTGTATATATGGTCTCTTACATTTTTTCAATACCTATTCATTTAACTATATTTTAACTACTTTTATCGGTAACACTATTGTGATGGTCCATTTGAGTATTGTTAGACTGTCTGCTTAATATCTGCTGATACGGTTCCTTCAACAGACATTTAACTGACTATAAGAAACTTTGCAAGCACATGTCAACTTACACTAACCGTAACCCCAACCTAACAGTCTACTTATAATATAATGAGAATTAGTTGGCATGTAGATACAGTGTAACTTAAATTCAACAAACGAACCATCAAAATGAAGTGTGACCCTTTTATTTGTTTATACTAATTTAATTTCAGTTTTTACTTATATAAGTTGTACTAAAATTAGGATACAATAAATAAAACATGTTCCCAAATGTATAAATGTTATTTATAATGAATAAATGTATATTTTATAAAGACAAATAACAATAATAATAAGCTAATAATAATAAAAATGACAAAAACACACCAAAATGACAAAAAAAAAAGATATTACCTAAAACTACAATAGTTTCTCAGTAATACTTTAATAATATTAGTATACATTAGGCATTGGATAATGTTCATATGATCTAAATAGCTTATAATTTCTCTTATGAATATTTTTTATTTTTTTAATATTTTACAAGTGATGTTTAACTGGGGCATCACAAGGACACAGTGAGTGGCAAGGTAGCCTCACGGCAAGAAGGTCACTGGTTTAACCCTCGACTGGGTCAGTTGGCATTTCTGTGTGGAGTTTCCCCCACAGTCCAAAGACATGACCATAGGTAAATTGAATAAGCTAAATTGGCCGTAGTGTATGTGTAAGAATGCAAGAGTTTATGGGTATTTCCTAGTGTTGGGTTGCGGCTGGAAGGCCATCTGCAGCATAAAACATATGCTGGAAACCCCTGATTAATAAAGGGACTAAGCCGAAAAGAATATAAATGAATGTTTAACAGATCAACAAAATTTTTACAGTATTTCCTATAACATTTTTTCTTCTGTAGAATGTCATGTTTGTTTTAGTTTGGCTGGAAAAAAGCACTTTTTACACTTGTTTAAAAAAAACTTTTTTAGGTCAATCTTTTTTTTTTTTTTTTCAATTGTCTACAGAACAATCTACTGTAATCCAGTCATTTGTCCTATTATTTTAACTTGCTTAGTTAATGTAATATCCAAGTTAGGTCTTTAAGCTAAATACTACACTAGTATCTTGCTAAATGTGTAAAAAATGTATATGCTCTGTCACCATGGTAAGACAGAAGAAAATAATTATTAGAAATTGGTTATTAAAATGATTGTCTAAAATTGTGTTGTAAAATATTTTAAACAAATTTTTATATAATAAAAATTTCTAATTTCTATCTTTTTATTTTATATAATAAAAATTTCACAGGATTTCACATGAATAATTTAAAGTTAACTTTAAGCTATGTTTCAAGCAGTACATTCTGGTACATAACGCTTAGTTTTTTCACTATCTAATGAAATCTTTAAAGAGGAAAATTAAAAATCTCGTCTTTTTTTAATTTCATGAAAGCACAGAAGTAAAATGTGTGTTAAAATATATCTGTTTACCTTGACAGGGAGTAATGTGATTTTTTATTTCTACCAGGCTGGCCAGTACACCTCTATATTTGTGGACAATGCAGCTGGAGCGTCGATCACAATACAGAACGGTTCCGATTTCATGGGCATGTTGTTGGGTGTATAGCTGTGTTTTACAGCCAGAGATTGTATATCTGGCGGGCCACGTAAGACTGCACAGCTCCTCTACGGACAATCAACAAGCACCATAAATCCTCATGAGACAATATCTGACCGCCACAAAGCTTTTGGCTTGTTTTTGGAAGAGACACAGACACATTAAACCCACACAGCAGAGACAGTTGGACACGAAACTGAAAGACTTTAATGAGGACAGTAGATCTGCCTTTCTCATGCGCCGTGAGGTTGTTACCTCATCAGAAAGATCTTTTTTTAAAATATCAAGTCTGATTTTGTTATATATAGATGTATACGAAGAGATTTTTGTACTTTGATGTGTTGTTATGTATGTCTTTTTTTCCTCTTAATTAATAGTTTATATACAGAGTGTTTATTTACACAATTTATTTTATACGGTGAGAGGTTTTCTACAATACAGGAGATTATCTTTTGGATTTATCTTAAAGGGAAAGTTCACCCAGAAAATTAGTTTGCTCATTTATTCTCCTTCAGGTCAACCAAGGTGTGCAGTAGGTGAATTTGTATGTCAGTAGTAGATTAAAGGTTTTTAGCTGATCCATATTGTGAAATTTAATGCAAGTCGATGAATACTGGCACTGTGAGAAGTAGGAAACAGTATATACACACAAAAAAAGTGCATGTTTCTCATGACAATAATGATGTTGTAATTAATGTTCAGTTTATTGCACAAATTGATCATTTCGGTTCATTAAACCTCAATGTATCAGCACTCAACTAGAGTAAAAGAGATGTTGAAGAAGGTTTAGAAGATTGATAAATGTGAGCCATCATCATATTAATAAAAATAAATACCAAATTTCTTAAAAATGTTAGCAATAGGTAAAAGATAAATGGGAAACAGGAAAAAGTCCCAAAACTGATCCCTGTGGTACACCACCAACAACATGAGAGGGCTAAAACTGTTTGAGCTGGACACATTTAGTCAATGTTAATAATAAATAAATAAATAAACAAATAAATAATTAATTTAATATAAATAAAAAATATAAATGAATAAATAAATAATCAATTAAATAAATAAATAAATGTATTTTTATTTGATATAAAAATATTTTTTTTTTTTATCCTAAGTGCCAATTGACTTGTGGTTTGTCAGTCAAAAAACAAACAAGCAGACAATCAAAACATATACAGGTAAATCGAAATTAAAACCTGTGGCTCCTGACTATACTGATGGTCAGCCTGTCAAAGCCAACAATTTTTAGTTATTACTTACCTGCAGTGCTTAATTTGAGCCAGATCTTGCCAGATCTTGTTCCAGGAAATGTCAGATATTCGTGTTTTATGTTATAGTATTTATTTTAATTGATACGGCATTAACTTTTGCATGGTGAATACCTGCATTTGTGTGTGTGTGTGTGTGTGTGTGAGAGAGAGAGAGAGAAAGAGAGAGAGAGAGAGAGAGAGAGAGAGAGAATGTGAATGAGTCAAAGTGAAAAACAGTGAGCAAAGCTGTGTTGATTGTGTGTGCACCAATCAGCTTTCGTATGTTTACAATCACTCTCATTGGTGGGGATTATTGTTTCGCGTACAGTGAGCAGTGAAAATAAATAATGGCATAGTGGCCTACCTAAATAATATTTGCATTTTCAAAATGCCAGAGGCAGTCGAGCATATATTATTTAAAAAAACAAAAAAACAAAAAAAAAAAACATGAGGAAATCTGATACCGAGCCTGATCAAGAGAAGATGAAACTGCACCCCTGGATCAGGGTAGCGGGAGACAAAAGCAAAACAATCAAGTCAGACACAAAACATGACAGAAGAGAAAACCGTAGGGTCTTCCTGAAGTTTAGACAGAGTGAATCATTTTTGATTGGCACATAATAGTGAAGTGAACTGAATGTCAGGGGTATTAGTAAATTGAATAGTGATGTTTCATTTGACATGTTATGTTTTTTTAATCCATGATTGACCAATAACGTTATATTGCACAAAAAAACTAAAGACGGTACAGAAATGTGATGCTTTTTTCACTACAAGCGCTTAGTATCATCATGTTCTGGCAAAACTGAAATTGTGTGGTTGACGTTGGTCACGATAATTTTTATTTTCTGGTTTTGTTCCAGTAATTATTCATTTACAAATTAAGCACTGCTTATCTGTATATTGTTTTTTGACTCTCAAAGTATTGGTAAAGGCATTGACTTGCATTTTATAAATCAGCAGAAGCTCGGTCTCAGATTAAAAAAAAAGCCATCTAAATACAGTATACATCAGGTCTGGCAAAAATGACAATTTTTGGGTGAACTATCCCTTTAAAAGTGTTACGATTTAATGAAGATGTTACCCAGAATGCACACCTATGCAAACTCTTATGCATACCATGTCTGTATTTTTAAAAAAATATGACAAGCTAGACAGTTTTATTTACTATGCAGCTCCAAAAAGCATGTTGTAGAGACTTGATTATTGATAAAAGAACAGATTTTCCATTACACTCGGCCAAAAGAAGGAAACAGCCAAATACAAGAAAAGAAACAAGACGGATGACTCAGTCTATTTTTACGTCCAATAGCTAACAGTCCCAAACAATAGCATTTATCCAGCAGTGTGTGTGTGTGTGTATGTATGTATGTGTGAGTGAGTGTGTGTTTGGAAAGCTACCGCCATGATCGATTAGACATGTTAGAGTCCTGCTGAGTTTTCCTTTTGTTTACTGAAATGCCAAATACGTCATCTTTAAATGCTCTGTTTTTCACATCTCCATGCTAACTGTTAAAAGTGTTGTTCTTTCTTTTTTTTATTATTATTTACTTAAAGAAATTAAGATACATATATATTAGCATATTTGCCATACAGATTATTTATGTTTAAATGTATCTGCCAATTAAAATAGATTTATTTTTTTTAATTGGCTTTCAGCCTTCCAGTAGATCTCAATACAAGTGAAAATGATGTGCTGCAGTATTTGCTTGTATTGTGGTGTAATGGAAATATAACTGTATTCAATAAATGTAAAATATATCTATTCACCTGGGCATGCTTGCGGTTGACTGGAAATGACTTTTATGAGTTTTGAAATCTTGCTAACGTTGGTAATTCTCTGCTCGATAAAGCGGGCAGGTCGCACTCCTCGTGGAAAATATTCTTTGGTGCTGTAGTGTGGAAAATGCTTCTTTGCATCATTTGCATTGCAAATAATCCAGGATACCTCAAATACTTTGGCAGACAGGAGCAAGTCTGACAGACTGATGGTGGCAGGGCACACCAGAGTCATCTGTGAATACAAACTTATTTAATCTTGTCCCCAAGTGTCATTTAGAATGGCACAAAAAAGACAGTCTCAGAAATTTTTTTTTTTTAACAGAAGAACTGTTTTTCATGGGTCGTTGTGCCTTTAGGCCTCATCTTTCAGTAAATAAAGTTAACAAAATAAACAGATTTTTGATCAATATTTGGAATTTACATAAAAACATAAAAAAGCTCCCTTTTAATTTTTTTTTCTTTTTAAATATTTCCTAAATGATGTTAAACAGAGCAAAGAAATTTTCACAGTATGTCTGATAATATTTTTTCTTCCGAGGAAAGTCTTATTTGTTTTATTTCGGCTAGAATAAAAGCAGTTTTTGATTTTTAAAAAAATAAATTTTTCCGTCAAAATTATCAGCCCCTTTAAGCTAATTTGTTTTCAATAGTCTACCGAACAAACAATCATACAATAACTTGTTTAATTACCCTAACCTGCCTAGTTAACCTAATTATCCTAGTTAAGGTTTTAAATGTCACTTTAAGCTGTATAGAAGTGTCTTGACAAATATCTAGTCAAATATTATTCACTGTCATCATGGCAAAGATCAAATAAATCAGTTATTAGAAATGAGTTATTGAAACTGTTATGTTTATAAATGTGTTGAAAAAATCTGCTCTCTGTTAAACAGAAATTGGAGAAAAAATAAAGAGGGGTGCTAATAATTTAGGGGGGCTAATAATTCTGACTTCAACTGTGTATATAATAAATATTAGTTTTATTATTTTTTGTAATATTATTTCAGTATGTTCATTTCAAATTCTCTATTAATTTTAGTAATTTTTTTCGCAATTTTAAGTAGTGGTTTTGATATTTTTATTATTATTATTTTATATTTCTAAAATTTTTCCTTTGTTTTATTTTATAAATAATTTTTTATAACTTTTAAATAACTTTGCCAAGGCTACTTTTTATTTAATTACATTTAATGCAGTTTTTTTATATATGGAGGCCGATAACCGATATATTAGCCGATAAATATAAAAATTTTTTAAATGTTATATTTTTATACAGTAAACAATTGATTTTATTTTTAAAAAATCATTAACATTTAAACTGATTTTATAAATCTAATACTCAAAGCAAAAAAGCAATAATTTAAAAATTGAAAGGAGATTATATAGACCTATATTCACGATTTTACATCAATTAGCATGCCAAAAAATTAACTGTCCGCATAGCAAATTAACATGCAACTTGACTGTTGCATAAAATAATTAAATAAGTTAATTAATAAAATGAGATTTAATTGACAAACAAGTTAAATAAATATATTTTTTTAAATCTAATGCACCGTACAACTGGCTAATTCGTATAAATTCGTGGCTAATTCATATAAATTTGTACAATCTAATTCCTACAATTTAGTACAATTTGCTCATCACCCAATGACGGTTGGGGTTAGGGGTGGGGTTAGGTGCCAAGCCTCCTTTTTAAAACTGTACATTTTCGTACGACTGAACTCGTACGAATTTATCCCACATATGCACAAAGCAGGCAGTTCTGTACAATTATGTAATCTATCAGCTAAAAGATATCAGCCTAATTTTGACATCGAACTGATAACGATAACAATAATAATAATGAATATCTGCCCATAACGATATGGCCGCTGATATATCGTGCACCCTTAAGTTAAACATGTTTACATTTTTAAAAGTTACACAAGATTCAATTAGATATTTTTTAGGTTTATTGTAGTACAAATGAAAATTATCTTTAAAATTAATTTAATTTTTGCTTTTAAAAAATTATGCATAAGCTACTTTTATATGCAAATGATAAAAACATCGGCCTGTTGTAACAGAATAACAACACCATTAACTTTCTATTGTGAAAAAGCATACAATTTAACAAGGTTTTGTTGGAGACTTCATCCAAAAATGCACCTCTCCTTATGTTCTCATAGTTTACTGTGCAGCTTCAAAAAGCATGTTTTAGTATCTTGGTAATTGATAAACAACAGATTTTCCATGATGCCTTGCCAACGGAAAAGAAAAAAACCAAAACAACAGCATGTAAGTGATGATGATTCAGTCTATTTCTGATTCCAGGTCTGTAACAGTTTTGCAACAGCTTGACTAGATTAAACACTTATTATGTGAAAAAAAATTTACACATAAAAGCCTTCCAACACTTGTGACAATTTTGCACCACTTTTCTTTGCACTTAGAGCTAATAATTGAAAGCTGAATGCTAGTTACACAGTGTCTGCAGGTAATCTTTTTCAGCTGTTATCATTTTCAGCATGTACTCGCACAGTAGCTGCGGCACAACTCAATCGGCCCACATTCACTTTAACAGACTTACTAAACGCAAACAGATTTAGCTCAATTATTAGTATTTGGAGAGGAGAAATATACCTGCTATGATTCATCTCTTCACATCTGAACGCAAAATTGGTTTTGATGGTTTTCACAAATACCAGGAATCCTCCAAAAAAAGATGAAATATCAGAGTATGTTCATGTGTACAGGACATCAAAAAGCACATCAAAATGCAAATGCCAATTGTCTACCTTGATGTTAAAATGAAATCAACTGACATATAACATTGGCATCAGAAAGACACATGAAAAAAAGTCAATGTTAGATGTCAATTTGATGTTTTGACATCAATGTAATTTAAATGCATTTTGGGAAAACTAAATTCCAGTGTACATTTGAAATTGAAGCTTTAAGATGAATACAACTTTTCATATAATACTTTTACTTTAATATTTGTGCCATAGTTTTGGTGGTCAAAAGGACATCAATTTTTTTTATTTATTAATTTTTTTTTGCAACAATTCGCAATCTTGACATCAATTTGATGTAGTTTTGACATCAAGGTGCCTGCTTAGTAAGGTGGTGGGGTGGGGGTGAATTATGTTTATTTTAACCAATAGTATCTGCATGCTGAGACACAAGCCATTCAAAAATGCTAATTAAATTTATGCGCAAACTGGAATATTGCATAGAAGATGTGCAAATAAAGCAGCATTACCATCCAATGAGTCAAGGAGAATAAAATTGTCACTTCTTGAATTAACTGGCGCCCAATATCAACAGTAAAAACTGAATTTGCAGCGGCAGAAGAAGCTGCGTGAATCTTTTACTTATTTAATAAATGACTTTTACTTAAGAAGACGATGCCGACATGCACTAAATGCTAGGTGGCATTTGAAGCCATGAGACATGGAGCACAGATGCTCTCAACAGTTCTGAAGGTCATTAATAATATAATAATATTAATATTAAAATGGTTAAAGCATTTTAAAATGACCAAAACAACATTTTAGATGTTTTTAAAGTGTGCTCAGCCACTGCTGGTTTGTCCATACACACACATTTTTATCATCACATGATCTCTGACAACAAAATCACATGACCTTTTTTAATGCGCATACTGGAATTTGTTCGGTAAAATTGTTTCCATTGTAGTTTATGAGCATCTTTTTTTATCGAATTAAAAAGTTTATCCTGCTAAGTAATGCGCATAAATTTATGTAGTGCAAGTTGATGCTATTTTGTCTTATGGTCAGTGCAGTATGTGACTGTATTACTGTATTGTAAGTTCACAACAACAACTAAATCTTACCTATGAAATCTTCTGCCTTTGTGCTTTTTTTTTTTTTTTGCTTGTTACCGTACACAGTGCTAAAGTCCAGAATCTTTAGATTGGCTTTAGTTTCGACTAGTGCGGTTGAATGACATTTGTCCTGGGAGCACTGTACAAACATGGCGGCGCTATTGACACTTGCTCGGGGTCCGTATGCAATATCTAGTGTATCTATGAGTGACCCCTGCTGGAGTTATGTGTACATCATTTATCTGTACTTGTAAAACTACACCCTTTTCCAGTCAAAGAAACACTTCTTGGTTGAGAGAAATTTGGATGTCTGAACACCACCTTTTCTTTAAAACATTGTGTAAAAGTACCTGACTTTTTCAGGGATTGCATATGTTCATCTACTTAAACTGTTTTAACACATCTTATTGGCAAATGTAAGTTGACATTGTGTTGTGCCTAACAACACTCTTTAGGCGTGACTGTATTGAAAATATCACAAAACAAAATGAGGTAAAGATGAGTCAGATATGTAGATGTCTGAAAAGGCGCTCAATGTGTGCTGTTTGGGTGGTCCATGCTGTATATAAAGATAAAGTGTGAAGATTCTTGAAAGTTGTTTGCTGTATTTAAGGTGTTGCTGTACAAAGTTGCACAATGTGTTATGTGCAAATATTACTCTAAAAACCCTTCATGTTTGTGAAAGATTGTAGCTTTTCATTTTTGAGCAAGTCTGTTTAATATGTGAAAGTGATTTATGTTCTAGACAAGATTTCTAGACATTACTTTTTTCAGTCAAATGTTTAAAAACATAGACAGCTAAACTCCCTCACAATTTAGTTGTAGATTTATACTGCGGTTATTGGAACATGTGGTTTTAAAAACTAACTATGCTTTGCCTGGCAAAAAAACTCTGGCTGAAAGGCTGTGTGGTCATTTTCTAAGAATAACATTAATTGGAGCACTGAAGCGTGTGGTTAAGGACACTAATGTTGTTGTGCTCTTTTAAAGAGAACTAATCAACTCTTTTATTAGCTGTTAGGATTGGCTAAGATGAAAGCGCGGAAATTACTGTGAAAATGACTATTAACAATAGATGAAGACTTCATCTTCGAAAGCAGATGGTTTGTTTTTCTATTTAATCAAACATATTTAAGCTTTGTTATATGAAAGTTC